GGGGGTGGGGGTGGGGGGGTGGGATGGGGTTTTCGGGGATGGTCCAGGGGATGCGGGTTCTGGGGTTTAGGGTTTGGGGTTTGGGGTTTAGGGTTTAGGGTTTAGGGTTTGGGGTTTAGGGTTTGGGGTTTGGGGGGGAGTGGGTTTCCGCGCGAGCTGCCTGCTCACGATACTGCAGCAGCAGCAGCAGCAAATAGCCAAACAAACAAACAAACAAATAAATAAATAAATTAAATAAATAAATTAAATAAATAAATAAATAAATAAATAAATAAATAAATAAATGGAATTGAGTTTGTGTGCAGCTTATGACCTGAGCCGCCACGCAGCAGCAACGCGGGTGGACTTGACGGCCTCGGAAACCCTAAACCCTCCTTTGAAGGAAAACTTTTTGAAACCCTTTTTTGACAAAAAGTTAATTGGAACTGTTTTTAAGAAGCAGCAAGCAGCAGTGATAGCAGCAATAGAATGCATGCAGGAGCAGCAGAAGCAGCAGATGCAGCAGCAGCTCCTCGACACGGGCACCTACACCCTCTCCCTCGACAGCAGCAGCAGCAGCAGCAGCAGCGGCAGCAGCAGCAGCAAGGCGGACAGCTGCGGCGCCGACGCCGCCAGCAGCAGCAGCAACAACAGCAGCAGCAGCAGCAGCAGCAGCAGCAGCAGCAGCAGCAGCAGCAGCAGCGTGGTGGTGACGCGGGAAATGGTGCGGTTTGAAGCGAGCAGCAGAACGGTGCACGAGCGTCGGTACACCCCGAGCGTGATAGAACCTTCTTTTGGAATTGGAAGAATCATTTATTGCATTTTAGAACATTCTTTTTGTTCTCGAGAAATAAAAGGGCAAGAAGAAAGGGTTTTCATGAACTTCCCCGCGCAAATAGCTCCCATAAAAGTGCTGCTGCTGCCGCTGGCGAGCCAGGAGCCGCTGCTGCTGCTGCTGCAGCAGCTGCGGCAGCAGCTGCTGCTGCTGCAGCTCAGCAGCAAAATGGACTGCAGCAGCGCCTCCGTCGGCCGCCGCTACGCCCGCGCGGATGAACTCGGAATCCCTTTTGCTGCAACAGCAGATTTTGATTCTTTAAAGGACTTTTCTGTCACAATTCGAGAAAGAAATAGCATGCAGCAAGTCCGCATGCATGCAGACAAAGCCCCAAAAGTGCTCTTCAAACTCTGCAGGGGACTCGCCACTTGGCAGCAAATCCTCGACAAGTACCCCCTCGTCACTGTCCAGGAGGACTGACCTGCTGCTGCTGCTGCTGCTGCTGCAGCAGCAGCGATGCAGCAGGACTGCTGCTGCTGCTGCTGCTGCTGCAGCAGCAGCAGCGCTGCTGCAGCAGCAGCAGCAGCGGCGCTGCTGCTGCGGGGGAGGCGCCGGCAGTGCTGCTGCTGGGGAGGCTGCGGCACTGCTGCTGCTGCGCTGGGGAAGCAGCAGCAGGGCTGGTGATGCAGCAGCACGGCTGCTGCTGCTGCTGCAGCTGCTGCAGCAGGGCTGCTGCTGCTGCTGGTACTGCAGCAGCAGCAAAGCGTGTTTGGAATGAAGAGGTATTCAGCCAATTCTGCTTCAAGTCCTTCTCAGCAGCAGTTTGGATTTGGAGCACAGCGCCGCTGCTGCAGTTGCTGCAGCAGCACTGCTGCTGCTCTTGCTGCTGCTGCAGCACTGCTGCTGCTGCAGCAGCAGCAGCAGCAGCAGAAAATCGTATTTTTTCGCTTTTAAGAGACATTGAGACATTTTCGTTTGAAGTCCTTTTAAGCAGCACTTTGGATTTAAAATAAAAAAAAATAAAAATGAAAAAGAATTTAAAAAAGAATTAAAAAGGAGTTAATGAACTTACAAAATAAAGAATTAAATAGAATTAAAAAGAAGAAAGAATTAAAAAGAAAAGAATTGAAATGGAAAAGAATTAAAAAGGAAAAGAATCAAAAAGAAAAGGAATTCAGAAGTATTGAAGAAGTATTTTAAAAATTAAAAAACAAATTAAAAAATAAAAATAAATAAAAAATGAAATAAATGAAAATAACTTTAAAAGGCTTTTAAAGATGAAAACAAAAATCAAGAAATAAAATTTAAAAATAAAATAAATTTATTTTGATGAAATAAATATTTTAAAAGATTTAATTTTTAATTGCTCTGTTTAAAACATTAAATTAAATGCATTTAATAAATAAATAAATAAATAAATAAATAAATAATAAATAAATAAATAAATAAATAAATATAAATGTAAATAAAAATAAATAATTGCAAACATGAATTAAAATAAATATGAACATAATTGAGTATAAATAAATATATAAATACAAATTTCTATTTATATTTAAATAAATGTAAGTATAAATATAAATATAAATATAAATATAATTGTAAATATAAATACAAATATTAAGATAAATATAAATATAAATATAAATATAAATGTAATTATAAATATAATTATAATTATAATTATAATTATAAATATAATTATAATTATAAATATAATTATAATTATAAATTTAAATTTATATTTAAATTTACATTTAAATAAATATAAATACAAATGCAAATACAAATATAAAGAAATGAAAATAAATATAAAATATATTTCCTTGAAAATATATAATTCATTAATTTAACTTTTTCTTTTTAATTTAAATTAATTAAATTAATTTTTTTCTTTTTATTTTAAATTGTCCTTTTGAAACCTTTTGAATTTAAATTTTACAAAAAGCTGATTTAAGGGGCTTTAAGTGACAGCGACTTCTGCTGCTGCTGCTGCTGCTGCTGCTGCTGCTGCTGCTGCTGCTGCTGCTGCAAGATAGGCCACCGGTGCAGCAAGTTACTGGCAGGCACAGAGGCAGCTGCAGCAGAAGATGATTTGCATTGAGTCTCCCTGTGCGCTCTGCAGCAGCAGCTGCTGCTGCCGCTGCATCTATTGCTGCTGCTGCAGCAACTGCTGCTGCTGCAGCAGCAGCAGCTGCTGCTGCGAGTCTTTTCATATAGTTGCAACCCAAAAGGCCGATGGTTAATGTGCCACGGAAACAGCAGCAGCAGCAGCAGCAACAGCAGCAGCAGCAACAGCAGCAACGGCAACAACAGCAGCAGCAGAGAATGAGTCACCGGAGATCGGTCTCGGTATCTCCTGGCCAGCAGCAGCAGCAGCAGCAGCAGCAGCAGCAGCAACAGAAACAGCAACAGCAGCAGAAAAAGTAACAAAAGCTCCTTACTTTTTCTTGCGATTCTTTTCACTTTAATAATAGTGCCTTTTGACTAGCCCGTTTCAGGTCTCGCTCGCAGCAGCAGCAGCAGCAGCAGCAGCAGCTGCTGCTGCTGCTGCTGCTGCTGCTGTTTTCACATCGTTGTCTAAGATGGTAACTTAAATAGCACTTTTAAATAATTACAAAACATTAAAAATTATGAACATGAAAAAATAGAAGCAAATCTTTTGCTGCTGCCGGTGCCGACAGCGGGGAACCGCTATCGAGCAGCAGCAGCAGCAGCAGCAGCAGCAGCAGCAGCAACAGCAAGCTGCTTCTGCAGTGTGAGCTGCTAGTCAAAAGAAATCAAAAATGAAGAAATAATAAAAGCTGCTTTTTCTGCTGCACACACATTGGCGCGAACAGCAGCAGCAGCTCTGGTCTCTTGTCTGCAGCAGCAGCAGCAGCAGCAGCAGCAGCACTGCCTCTACTACAGCTTCTGTTGGCCCTCAAGCCTCTGCTGCTGCTGCTGCTGCTGCTGAGATGGGGCACCAGCGGTGGGCACTGCCTGTGCCAACAGGCTGTGTCTCGAGCAGCAGCAGCAGCAGCAGCAGCAGCAGCAGCAACTGCAGCAGCAGCGGCTCGCCCAGCAGCAGCAGCAACTGGCAGCTCAACAGCACTGTGTGGCTCCCCAAAGCCAGCGAGCCCTCATCAACAGCAGCAGCAACAGCAGGAGCAGCAACAGCAACAGCAGCAGCAGAAGCTGCTGCTGCTGCTGCTCCGCCGGTGTCTTGTTCACTCACTTGCTGCTCCCTTGACTCCTTGCTGCCGGCCTGCTACCTGCTGAGAGAGCAGCAGCAGCAGCAGCAGCAGCAGCAGCAGCAGCTGAGCCTCGCTGAGCTGCTGCCGGCGCTCCCAGAAGTCGCGGTGTCATTGCTTGAGCTGCTGCCGCAAGAGCAGCAGCAGCAGCAGCAGCAGCAGCAGCAGCAGTCACCTGCAGAGCTCTTTATTCCGCTTCAGCTGCGTTCTTTCTGCTACAAGCGCAGCAGCAGCAACAGCAGCAGCAGCAACAGCAGCAGCAGCAGCAGCAGCAGCAGCAGCCAGAAGGCAATAGAGTGGCTTGAAGCCCCAGAGGTGCAGCAGCTGCTGTCGCTTCCCTCGTCATCTCCCTTTTGGGTTTACCCACAGCAGCAGCAGCAGCAGCAGCAGCAGCAGCAGAACTTGTTTGCTGCTTTGCAACCGGAGACGCAGTTCTTGCTGGCCCGCATTAGTACAAAACAGCAGCAGCAGCAGCAGCAGCAGCAGCAGGAGCTGGGTCAGCTCGTGCTGCTTGCACCCCTGACAGACCCTGAGGCTTGCTGCCGAGCGGCGCTGCAGCGCAGCAGCAGCAGCAGCAGCAGCAGCAGCAGCAGCAGCAGCAGCAGCGCAGCCTCTGGTGGTGGATTTGAGGTGTACGTACACCTCGAGAGAGGCCACACAGGCAGCAGAGCAGCAAAGCTGCTTCTCTGTTTAACAGCAGCAGCAGGAGTGTCTTTGCAGCAGGTAGGGCCCCCTCGAGCTGCTGCTGCTGCTGCTGCTGTTGCTGCTGCTGCTGCTGCTGCTGCTGTTTTTCATGCTGCCGTTGCACTGCTGCTCCTGCTGTGCTTGAGCTCAATAGCTCTTTTGCTGCTGTTGCTGCTGCTTCAGATGCCATCCACTGCTGCTGTTGTTTATGCTGCTGTTGTCGTTGCTGCTGTTGTTTCTGCTGCTGTTGTTGCTGCTGCTGTTGCTTGTGTTGCTGCTGCTGTTGCTGCTGTTGCTGCTGTTGAGGATAATGCTTTTATAGCTGCTGTTGTTGTTTCTGCTGCTGTTGTTGCTGCTGCTGCTCTTTGAAGCTGTTCCATCTGCTGCTCTTTCTTTCATCATAGCTGCAAAATTTACTCTCAGACGCTGCTGCTGCTGCTGCTGCTGCTGCTGCTGCTGCTGCTGCTGCTGCTTAGCTGTTACTGGCTTTTTCAGAAGCTGCAGCAGCACTGCTGCCATGCTGCGGCCCTCCGCGGCCTGTGAAGGAGCTGCTGCTGCAGTGCCGCTCGGCAGCAGCAGCAGCAGCAGAAAGGGACAATCAGCAGCAGCTCCGACCGACAGAAAGCCACCAGCAGCAGCAGCAGCAGCAGCAGCAGTTGCTGCTGCTGCGGGGCTTAGGCTGGTGCTCCTGGGATGCTTTTGGGCCGGACTTGACGCCCCAAGGCCTTGCTGAGGTGAGCCTGCTCACTTGTTGCTGCTGCTGCTGCTGCCGTTGTTGCTGCTGCTGCTGCTGCCGTTGCTGCTGCTGCTGCTGCTGCTGCTGCTGCTCTTGCTGCTGCTGTTCCTGCTGCCGTGCCGGCTGCTGCTGCTACTCTCGCTCCTTCTGCAGTTTATCGTCTAATATCCTCCTATCTTATTATTATTATTATTATTATTATTATTATTATTATTATTATTATTATTAGTATTATTATTACTATTATTATTATTATTATTATTATTTCTTTTTTCTATTTTGTCTTTTTGCTTCTTCAGGTTGCTGCTTTGGGCCTTTTCGCCTGGATGTTAATAGACGATGGCTGGCAGCAAACCAGACCCCTTCACAAACAGTAAGGCAGCAGCAGCAGCAATCGCCCCAGGGGCCCCCCAGGGGCCCCCCAGGGGCCCCCCAGGGGCCCCCCAGGGGCCCCCCA